TGGAATGTTGAACTGAACCCTTTATTTCGCTCACTGGGGTAGACTGTTCACCTCCACACCACCATCAGGATGCAAGGGCATTATCTTGATGATTTTTTTTCCAAACAGGTGGATTGGGTGAAGAGGTTCAGTAGAATATCCTCCGAGTTCATCAAACCTCACTTGATCATACTTTTAGTGATGTCAACGAACACTCGTTGCCATTTTTGTGATGTCAATGAATACTCGTTGTCACTTTCGAAATGCTCGTTGTAGTAGAGACTTTGTAATTGCAGATGCAACTATAGTAACGCCGTTGGACAATATGGTGTCAGACGCCTTCGAACATCACTGGCACTAATAGTACTTGCTCGATAATACTTGCTAATAATATAGTAATCCGTATAGTGATCTGTATAGAGAAATAGTATAGTAAATAGAGTAGAGAATCGCGGTTCGTATATTAATAGAGGATAGACTAGAAATAGCGATCCGTATAGTAAAGATGATAGACTAGAAATAGCGATATTAGTCGTCAGCTACTGTCTACTTATGCGTTTACCTAATGGTCACGTCATCCACTTAATTCAATAATAGGATCGCCTGTGTCTGCTCACTGGCGATCTAAGTTCAAACTCAAGTGTCGGTAGTGACACTTTATTCTTATAAAACAATACTTAAAGGATACATTTTCGATACAAAGCCGACAAATGTTGAAGAACCAAAAGAATAGATTTTAAAAAAAATCAATTCACCCCCAAGCAAGGCGATAATGTCGCTAAGACACAAGAAGCTACTGGGCGCGAAAGAGAAGAATTTAGAAGAAACTGGGGACCAATTCCTAAACAGGAAACAACGGATAAACCTCTACTCCTGTTCAAAAGTCCGGGGAGGAGTGTGAACCGGGCGATAGAACCTATTTACTTCCGGCCATGCGCACAAATCCCGAACGAAATTATTCCGCGTTCTCAGCAATGGCCGCAGCAGAATTATCCCTTTTGAAAACAGGTGTTGAGAAAAGAAAAGAAAATGAAACCCGGTCTGTAGAGTCTATTAATTTTTAAAATGAAATCTATTTTAATAAATACTAACTTAGTAATCATTCACACACACACACACACACACACACACACACACACACACACACACATATATATATATATATATATATATATATATATATAGTAGAATACCTCATATCCAGAATCCCGCATATCCGGACATGATTTTGATGCATATATTTTAACTATTTGGGTGATATATAATTCATTTGAAACTTCTGTTTTTCAGGAAACTTACTTTGGATAATTGCTAATGTTTATTTCACCCTAATGGCTTGTATTGGTGCAAAAGATGATGGGAATAAGAGGAAAAGAAAACTTTTGGAGTTATTGCAAAGAATGGAAATTTTAAACAGACTAGACGCTGGTGAAACTTCATTGTAACTAATGGCTGAGTTCAACATAGGAAAGTCAACATTTTATGATATAAAATCTTCCAAAGAAACTATTCTCCAGCGTTCACACTGTCGCAATGAACAAAGAAATAAAAATATGATTGTGATGAAACATGGACTGAAAATTGAAAAAGCTATTGAAAAGGTTGTCAGTTTTACGAAAGCCAGCATTCAGCTCTGACGATTGCAATAACGCATGCAGATTTAAAAAGTGTCTTTCGTTTAAAACATTTCAAGAAGAAAAGCAAAACGAAATGCAGTAAAAGTTGAGAATGACATTAGAAGAGAAAGAATCATCATGCAACAGCGATTAAAAAATCCTTGTTATCTAATTTAATGAATTTTCATTACATAATTTATTTCTTTTTCCTTAAAATCAGTTCTGTTATATTTGGCTCACCATTAGTTTATTTTGCTTACTATAAAACATTGGAAATAAATGTTAAACCTGATTTCAATTCTTTTATTTTAATCTATAGATAACCCCTCATACCCGGACTTTATAACCAGTTCTTCATATCCGGAATCGCTCATATCCGGAATCGCTCATATCTGGAATCGCTCATATCCGGACTTTATAAACCAATTCTTCCGGAATATCCGAATCGCTCATATCTGGAATCGCTCATATCCGGACTTTATAACCAATTCTTCATATCCGGAATCGCTCATATCCGGAATCGCTCATATCTGGAATCGCTCATATCCGGACTTTATAACCAATTCTTTATATCCGGAATCGCTCATATCCGGAATCGCTCATATCTGGAATCGCTCATATCCGGACTTTATAACCAATTCTTCATATCCGGAATCGCGCTCATATCCGGAATCGCTCATATCTGGAATCGCTCATATCCGGACTTTATAACCAATTCTTCATATCCGGAATCGCTCATATCTGGAATCGCTCATATCCGGACTTTATAACCAATTCTTCATATCCGGAATCGCTCATATCCGGAATCGCTCATATCTGGAATCGCTCATATCCGGACTTTATAACCAATTGCTCATATCCAGAAGGCCTTCTTAGTCCGGTTGTCAGGGATTCTACTGTGGTAAAATTCCGTCAAGGAAACGTTTAGCATTCATTGACCTTTATTACATTATTATACATTATTACTGTCAGTTGAAATTTATAAAATCTTCTTCTTAAAATAGTTGGAAGAGTAATTTCCCTTAAAATTATTTTAAGAAAAATTCCCCTCAAGTCCATAAAATATTATCTTTCACTCTAGGGTTGAATGGTGGGGGGGGGTCTTCCCAGTTTTTATTTTTTTTTATAGTAGGGAAAGTTAACATCTTGATTATATCATTAATTTTTTTTTCTACTCATTTTTGTTGTTGTATTTAGTAGAAGGGTTCAGGTGCTTTTTGTTATTTGGTAAAACTCTTCGTTTCTGAAGCTGTTGCGTTAATTATAGAGTCTGATGCATATATAATGATGATGACATGTTCTTAATGTAGTGAGTCCCCTGTGGGGACGACAGGTGATGATTTTGGTTGCTTACCTGGAACATTCAATGGGTTCCAACTGAAGTTTCTTAATTAGGTTTTGTGTTAAACAGCAGGACTACAGATTAAGTTTTTTTTTAACATCTTCCGAAAACACAATTTGAATCATGCCAAATCACATAGATCGACAGAACAAAACATATTTACACTTAATTAAAGTTCATTTAAGAAACTATATATATTTTTTAAAGAATTATGACAGAACAAAGTTCCTAAATTGATAAATTTTTCAGGGACAGAATAAAACAACCCATAACAGGAGAAATAACAAAAAGGCATAATTTATTAAGCGCTATAAAGGACAAGAAATTGTGGAGAGCCATCATCGCCAACACCCTGAAAAGACATGGCACATAAAAGAAGAAGAAGAAGAAGAAGAAGAAGATAAATAAGAAGATAGAAGATAAAAGAAAATAGAAAATAGAAAAAATATTAAGAAAAGAAGAAAAAGATAGAAAAAGAAGAAAGAGGAAGAAAAAGAATAAAATAAAAGAAGATGAAAGAAGATAGAAGAAAAAAATAAGATAGAAGGTAGAAGAAGAAAAAGAAGCTAAAACAAGAAGAAGAAAAAGAAGAAGATAGAAAGAGAAAAAGAAGATAGTCAAAAGAAAAAGATAGAAGAAGAAGAAGAAAAAGAAAAAGATAAAGAAGATAAAAAAATAGAAAATAGAAAAAGAATATAAAAGAAGAAAAATAGAAGATAGAAAAAGACTAAAACGATAGAAAAAGAAGATAGAAGGAGAAAAAGAATAAAATAGAAGATAAAAGAAGATAAAAGAAAAAATAAGATAGAAGAATTTAGAAGAAGAATAAGAAGATAAAACAAGAAGAAAAAGAAGAAGATAAAACAAGTAGGAGAAAAAGAAGATAAAAAAGAAGAAAAAGAAGACGATAAAACAAGAAGAAAAAATGATAAAACAAGTAGAAGAAAAAGAAGATAAAATAAGAAGAAGAAAAGAAGACGCTAAAACAAGAAGAAAAAGAAGATAAAACAAGAAAAAGAAAAAGAAGAAGATAAAACAAGTAGAAGAAAAAGAAGATAAAATAAGAAGAAGAAAAAGAAGAAGATAAAACAAGTAGAAGAAAAAGAAGATAAAACAGGCAGAAGAAAAAGAACACAATAAAACAAGATAAAGAAAAAAGAAGATAAAACAAGTAGAAGAAAAAGAACACGATAAAACAAGAAGAAGAAAAAGAAGATAAAACAAGAAAAAGAAAAAGAAGATAGAACAAGTAGAAGAAAAAGAAGATAAAACAAGAAAAAGAAGAAGATAAAACAAGTAGAAGAAAAAGAAGAAGATAATACATGTAGAAGAAAAAGAAGATAGGAGAAAAAGAAGACAGTAAAAGAAAGAAGAAAATATTGGAAAATCTTGATGGGAATAGAATCAGAGATAAAGAAAGCAGAATTAATCTTTATAGCAGCGATAATAGACTTGTCCTAGAAAAATCGGTTAAATATATGAGACGCTCCACAGAACAAGGGCGAATTCGATAAATTCTCCAAATTGCGTCTGTTTCGTTTAATATCGGCAAGAAGTTCAATTCACGCTCCTTTATAGGATTTATAAAGTACGTGGGTTATCAGTGGGATTAAGTTTAATTAATGGTGGGGTACCAATGTCTGTGATCCCAACTTTAAAATAATGAATAAATAAATGTGTCGCTTGGATTAACAGGTGAGATGCATAAAATAAAATACAACAAATTTTGTATGAAGAATATTTAGATTAGTGTCAAATCTTTTAGAAACTGACTGTCTGATTCATTCCTTTTGTTGTGTAGAAGATGACCAATATTAAATGATTTTTTCTTATGAAAAAAAAAAAAAAAGAGAAAGAAAAAATATCCATTTAGCGATTCGAAAACCTTAACAGCATCTTCAGTCTACACTACCTATCGTCTGTTTTCGAAAGAATTATAACGAGAAAGCATTGTACAGCATAGCAGTGCAGAAGGCTTATTTTGTTTACACATTGCCTACGTCAGTATTTACATACGTGTGTCTGTGTGTTTGTGAATGGAGCAGGGGGGGATGGAGGTGGAAATGCGCACGCACGTGCAACACATCCATCCTTGCATGCGCAACTGTTGGAGTATTTTGCGATCTGATTCTACGAGCCACTGTTTGGCTGCTCGATCTCACAGAGTGTTCCACACACGCAAAGTTCAAGTGGAGAAATATCTTTTTGCTATATTTTTGAATTAAAATAGTAATGAGACTTAAAAGCCATTGGTAGTTCGAAACAGACAAAGCGGAACTAATAAATTGTCTACCTATATTGTTTATTCTCTTCTTTCATTCTCAGTCTGTCTATCAATCTATCTATCTATCTATTTCTGTTCATTCTGTTCTCAGATTATATTCATATATCACATTCTGTTCCTATCTATCTATCTATCTATCTATCCATTCATCTATCTCATATTCATATATCTCACATTCTGTTCATATCTATCTATTCATCTATCTATCTATCTATCTCATATTCATATATCTCACATTCTGTTCATATCTATTCATCTATCTATCTATCTATCTATCTATCTCATATTCATATATCTCACATTCCATTCTATCTATCTATCTATCTATCTATCTATCTATCTATCTATCTATCTATCTATCTCATATTCACATATCCTCACATTCTGTTCATATCTATCTATCTATCTATCTATCTATCTCATATTCATATATCTCACATTCTGTTCATATCTATCTATCTATCTATCTATCTATCTATCTATCTCATATTCATATATCTCACATTCTGTTCATATCTATCTATCTATCTATCTATCTATCTATCTCATATTCATATATCTCACATTCTGTTCATATCTATCTATCTATCTATCTATCTATCTATCTATCTATCTATTTCTCTCACATTATATTCATTATCTCACTTTCTGTTCATATCTATCTATCTATCTATCTATCTATCTATCTCATATTCATATATCTCACATTCTGTTCATATCTATCTATCTATCTATCTATCTCATATTCATATATCTCACATTCTGTTCATATCTATCTATCTATTCAATCCATCTATCCATCCATCTATCTATCTATCCACATTCATATATCTCACATTCTGTTCACATCCATCTATCCATCCATCCATCTATCTATCTATCTATCTCATATTCATATATCTCACATTCTGTTCATATCTATCTCATCTATCTATCTATCTATCTATCTATCTCATATTCATATATCTCACATTCTGTTCATATCTATCTATCTATCTATCTCATATTCATATATCTCACATTCTGTTCATATCTATCTATCTATCTATCTATCTATCTATCTATCTATCTATCTATCTATCTCATATTCATATATCTCACATTCTGTTCATATCTATCTATCTATCTATCTATCTATCTATCTATCTATCTCATATTCATATATCTCACATTCTGTTCATATCTATCTATCTATCTATCTATCTATCTATCTATCTCATATTCATATATCTCATTCTGTTCATATCTATCATTATCTATCTATCTATCTATCTCATATTCATATCTCACATTCTGTTCATATCTATCTATCTATCTATCTATCTATCTATCTATCTCATATTCATATATCTCACATTCTGTTCATATCTATCTATCTATCTATCTCATATTCATATATCTCACATTCTGTTCATATTCATCTATCTATCTATCTATCTATCTATCTATCTATCTATCTCATTATATTCATTATCTCACTTTCTGTTCATATCTATCTATCTATCTATCTATCTATCTCATATTCATATATCTCACATTTTGTTCATATATCTATCACATCATATCATCTATCTATCTATCTCATATTCATATATCTCATATTCATATATCTCACATTCTTCATATATCTATCTATCTATCTATCTATCTCATATTCATATATCTCACATTCTGTTTCATATCTCATCTATCTATCTCCATCTATCTATCTATCTATATTCATATATCCTCACATTCTGTTCATATCTATCTATCTATCTATCTATCTATCTCATATATTCATATATCTCACATTCTGTTCATATCTATCTATCTATCTATCTATCTCATATTCATATATCTCACATTCTGTTCATATCTATCTATCTATCTATCTCATATTCATATATCTCACATTCTGTTCATATCTATCTATCTATCTATCTATCTATCTCATATTCATATATCTCACATTCTGTTCATATCATTATCTATCTATCTCATATTCCATCTATCTATCTATCTCATATTCATATATCCATCATTCTATGTTCATATTCATCTATCTATCTATCATATCTATCTATCTATCTATCCATCTATCTCATATTCATATATCCTCACATTCTGTTCATATCTATCTATCTATCTATCTATCTATCTATCTCATATTCATATATCTCACATTCTGTTCATATCTATCTATCTATCTATCTATCTATCTATCTATCTATCTATCTATCTCATATTCATATATCTCACATTCTGTTCATATCTATCTATCTATCTATCTATCTATCTATCTATCTATCTATCTATCTATCTCACATTATCATTCATTATCTATCTATTTATCTCACATCATATTCTATCCCCACATCTATTCATCTATCTATCTATCTATCTATCTATCATCTATCTCACATTATATTCATTATCTCCACTTTCTCTGTTCATATCTATCTATCCATCTATCTATCTATCTATCTATCTATCTATCTATCTCATATTCATATATCTCACATTCTGTTCATATCTATCTATCCATCCATCATATCTCCATCTATTCTATCTATCTATCTCCATATTCATATATATCTCACATTCTATTCATCTATCTATCTATCTATCTATCTATCTATCCATCTATCATCCATCCATCTCATATTCATATATCTCACATTCTGTTCATATCATCATCTATCTATCTATCCTCATTATATCCATATATCTCACATTCTGTTCATGTCTATCCATCTATCTATCTATCTATCTATCTATCTATCTATCTATCTCACATTATATTCATTATCTCACTATTCATGTTCATATTCATATATCTCATCTATCTATCTATCTATCTATCTATCTATTCATATTCATATATCTCACATTCTGTTCATATCTATTCATCTATCTATCTATCTCATTATATTATATTCATTATATTTCCTTTCTATCCATATTCATCTATCTATCTATCTATCTATCTATCTATCTCATATTCATATATCTCACATTCTGTTCATATCTACATCCATCTATCTATCCACATTATATTCATTATCTCACTTCTGTTCATATCTCATCATCTATCTATCTATCTATCTATCTATCTATCTATCTATCTCATATTCATATATCTCACATTCTGTTCATATCTATCCATCCATCTATCTATCTCACATTATATTCATTATCTCACTTTCTGTTCATATCTATCTATCTATCCATCTATCCATCCATCTATCTATCTATCTCATATTCATATATCTCACATTCTGTTCATATTCATCTATCTATCTATCTCACATTATATTCATTATCTCACTTTCTGTTCATATCTATCTATCTATCTATCTATCTATCTATCTCATATTCATATATCTCACATTCTGTTCATATTCATCTATCTATCTATCTCACATTATATTCATTATCTCACTTTCTGTTCATCATTCATCCATCTATCCATCTATATCATCTATCTATCTATCTATCCATATCTATCTATCTATCTCATATTCATTCATTATCTCACATTTCTGTTCATATCTATCTATCTATCTATCTCACATTATATTCATTATCTCACTTTCTGTTCATATCTATCTATCTATCTATTATATTCATTATCTATCTATCTATCTATCTATCTATCTATCTCATATTCATATATCTCATATTCATATGTTCACATTCTGTTCATCTCATCTATCTATCTATCTCACATTATATTCATTATCTCACTTTCTGTTCATATCTATCTATTCATTCATCCATCTCATCTATCTATCTCATATTCATATATCTCACATTCTGTTCATATCTATTCATCTATCTATCTCACATTATATTCATTATCTCACTTTCTGTTCATATCTATCTATCTATCTATCTATCTATCTATCTATCTCATATTCATATATCTCACATTCTGTTCATATCTATCTATCTATCTATCTCACATTATATTCATTATCTCACTTTCTGTTCATATCTATCTATCTATCTATCTATCTATCTATCTATCTATCTATCTATCTCATATTCATATATCTCACATTCTGTTCATATCTATCTATCTATCTATCTCACATTATATTCATTATCTCACTTTCTGTTCATATCTATCTATCTATCTATCTATCTATCTATCTCATATTCATATATCTCACATTCTGTTCATATCTATCTATCTATCTATCTCACATTATATTCATTATCTCACTTTCTGTTCATATCTCATCTATCTATCTATCTATCTATCTATCTATCTATCTATCTCATATTCATATATCTCACATTCTGTTCATGTCTATCTATCTGTCTATCTATCTATCTATCTATTTCTCTCACATTATATTCATATATCTCACATTCTGTTTCTATCTATCTATCTATCTATCTATCTATCTATCTCACATTATATTCATATATCTCTGTTCATCTGTTCATCTCTCTCTCTCTCCCTCCCTCTTCTTCCCTCTCTCAATGTTTTCAGACTTTCACCATGTCTGAGAAATCATGGCCACTTTCGTTTTGCATGCAAGTTTGAAATCCTTATCTCGGACTCTCTACCCTCACATGATTTAAAGTGGGCGAACTGCAATGCTGGTGGGGAAAATGGATTCATGCCTTTCTCAAAAGCATTTGTGTGAAGTGGCCATAATGAACTGCGCCGATATTTGAACACTGCTTGCTAAATCTATCAATGTATCCGTGTCGTTAGAAGCTTAACGTTCCGGCCATAAAATCCGGATTTGAATTTCACTATGATCGATTTGTCAAAGAGTTGATATTTTGATAATATCGGTCTGAGGAGGTGATCACAGCCTGCGGTAACGTACGACGGGTGGACCCAAGCCCCGTGTGTGACATTGGGTAGACCGAACTGTTCGGAAAGCATCGATTATGACTTAGGGTACGAGCCTATTTGCCTTAATCAACTTCTGATCTCTGCCATATGATTCATTCTCTCCCAGGAACTGTAACTAAGGTCTGCCCAGAATGAATGCAGCGTAAAGCATAGGTTGACTCTGTCGCTTTTGAGAGAACACAAATCAGCATAACGAGGTATCTGCAGTAGTAATTAGCCAGCGGCCCCAGCAGATTTATGTATGTATATATATATATATATATATATATATATATATATATATATATATAGATAGATAGATAGATAGATAAATAGATAAATAGATAATATTAGTGGTAAATATACACATACATATGCAAATATATATAAATACATATGCAAAATATATAAATTCTTTTTGAATTATTAAGTCTGATGAATTGGATCGTATTTACGATTCCAATGGAATAAATTATAACCATGGAATATTAATGTTTAAGCCTTTTTATTATATATATATATATATATATACACAATAAAATCCCAAATCCCCTCATATGGGGACTAAACTTATTTCGACCGACAAAAATAAAATTCGTCAGTTTTATTCAACCGACGATAATACAATTCGTCGGTTTTATTCAATATATATATATATATATATATATAATATATATATATATATATATATATATATATATATATTATTATTATTATTATTATTATTATTATTATTAGAAATCTTATGAGTATAAGAAACTATACTGCTCGAAAAACTTTCGGTGTATTGATTTGCAAATAAAAAGCCAATACCAAAGGGGAAAAAAGTTATAAAAAAAAGAAAGAACCTAGAACATGTACGTTAGCCGAAAATAATCATCCATCATACGAGTTCAATGGCCAAAGAAAAAAAAAACCCGATGCTAGTATCCAAAACAACTAAATAAATTGCTCAATACAATGAGTAGAGCAGACCTAGTTAAACCTAGTGAACCAGACAAATCTACCAAGGTTTCACCTAAGCGGATCCTCTTAGGTGAAACCTTGGTAGGTTTGTCTGGTTTTCTAGGTTGAACTATATATATATATGTGTATGTGTGTGTGTGTGTGTGTGTGTGTGTGTGTGTGTGTGTTGTGTGTGTTTGTTTGTCTGTGTATGTTTGTATTAATTTATTTGTTTAAACGTTATTTTTAATGGACCCCCATATTTGAGTAGATGCTCTGTTTTTATTAAACAGTATATTTATTTATTTCCCATCACTGGCCTGAATATTCAGGAAATCTTGTTAGAAAAATATTCACCCTCTGGAAGGATTCCCCGAGGGAAAACCGTCATTAGATTTGACGTCCCTTGACCTCTCAGTGACGAAGTTATCTAAGAGTACGCCCTCAAATATGGGTAGCCATTAAAAAAAATAACGTTTAAACAAATAAATAAAAAAATATGTCAGATCAATAAATGAAAAATCAATTCCTAATTATATATATATATATATATATAGTCATCGACAGACAGATTGTTTCGCTGTATCACAGCTCTTCAGTAAGGATAGACGTCCGGTTGCCTCTAACAAGGTTCGAAACCCGGCTGAATTGGCGTCAGTCGGAGATTCTACAACTAAGCTGTCGAATTTTAGCGTATTTACTTTTAGATAAACACACAGTGACTGAGAGGACTCGATTCGCTTTGCCATATATATATATATATATATATATATATATATATATATAATATATATATATATATATATATATATATATATATAATATATAAATCTTCAGACACACTGGGTTGTATATTAATGTTCATTCTTTTTATTATTATCTCAGTTAGATTCCTCGACTAGTTTCGGCCAATATGGCCATCATCAGGAGAAAATAGAATTTCTACTTGCTAGTAGCAGTGAACTATAGAAATGAATGTCTTGATGGGGAATATATATATATATATATATATATATATATATATATATATATATATATATATATATATATGGGTGTGTGTGTGTACGGTTATGTATTATCTAGGGATGCATGGTGAGTACCTGTATATTTTTTGATCAGTTCATATCTGTCTTGTTAATTACTAATTCTGCCAGCCTGTAAAATCAGCATTCGAAAAAGAAGTTTGGAGATGGGTTCGAACACCGATCTATCTTTTCGGTGAATGTTACGAATACATCACTTGTCGATACTGAATAAACTTAGCTTCATGAGACACAAAACCCTCAAGGCGTCGGGTACAGCCTGCAGGAATCGAACTCATGACTTTCGAGACTTTCCTTTTCCTTCTTCTTCTTCTTCTTCTTCTTCTTCTTCTTCTTCTTCTTCTTCTTCTTCTTCTTCTCCGACTCGTCGTCTCCTGTCTATTTAATTCTACTCGTATCTCGCCATGTTTATCAATTTATGGAAACGTCGAATTAGTCTCGGATCTCTCACTGTCTCTTGATTTGCCCATCTCTGTTCGATTCTGCTTACACGTTCACTTCTCTTTACTGATTAATCGATTATAGTAAATCAATAGGAAGAGTGTGATCTGTTTGCTTTTATAGACACGTTGTTTGCAGCAATTCACTTGTCTCATGTTCGGATTAGAAATTCAAGTTTTTTTTTGTATTTTTTTTTTTGTTTTTTTATTGAGAGTGGGGCTTTTTAAAAAATTCCAATGCTTACCCCTAAATAAAAAAAATACAGAAATGTATATGTCAAATTTTATTCCCTCTCTCGCACAGAATATACACAGTCGTTGCTAACCCTCAAGACCTCCCCCACCGTGCTGGGTCTAGCGATAAACTACACCCGGTAGCAATATCAGATACGAGAAATCTAACCAATTGATCAAATATTAGAATTTTTAGAGGATTCCTTTCTTTGTTAGTCCTACCGATCCTTAAAGCTGCTTTTGTAGGCATTCGCCTTTATTTTTTTATAGGATATCCGAATAACACCTTAATATGTTAATGTACGTGTTGTGGCCTTGTTAGGGCCAGAAATAATGACACAAAGTGAGGAACTGAGTTAAACAAATATATTAACAGAAAAAGTAATACAAACATATACAAACGAGAGTGTTACAGCAAGAATGTCAGAGCTGACTGCTGGAAACTTCCCTCTCCAAAAAAGGCAGTTCCTGCTCCTATTCATAGCTTGGAGAGTCCATTCGTGCGTGGACAAATTACCATAACACTAACCCTCCCCACCGTGCTGGCGATAAACTTCATCCAACAGCAAGGCCTCTAATCGGAAGGCTTTGAGGAGCGTGGAATCCCCTTTTAATTTCTGTTGTTCCCAGGTCCACCCTGACCCGAAGGGCTCCAGCTATGGGCAAATAATTAATCCTCAAACTGGGGTTAAAATACTATGAAAGTATAAAAATAGATTTTTTATAGCAAAAAATACCAGCAACATATTTTTGAAAAAACAAATTACCAGCAGTATATTTGCCTCTCGACAAAAACCCACTTTACAAAAATATGTCAATGAAACCTGATCTACAAACTGATTTCTTACAAAGAATACATATTCTGCTCATAAGAAACTATCCTTAAAATGTCGGCATTAAATAACCCATTGAGACTGATATGCCGTAAAACAAAATAAACCATCTAGATATCCCCTTCCTGTGTAGCCTGAGGTGACAGCCTCTCCACAATAGGTGCTGCTGTTGTAGTAAATAGGTTTTTACAGAGTGGAATTGCTAGCTCCACGCCTAACGTGTTTTGAATTTAGAGTTGTATTTCTTCTAGTCTGGTTGCCAACCAAGGCTAGATTGCCCATTCTAGTCTGATGTTGACCCCCATCAGTAGTGGTGTAGGAAGAAGAGATGGATTTAAACCTTTTCCAAGGGTATTTATGCGAAATCAAACGCAAAGGTCTCGACTAGTTTTTGAAATCGTTGCGCTGATCCCACTTTGAGCGCCAGTAACCGCCACCCTACACAATATACGCGGCATTTAAATTTCATTTATGATGCTCAAGAAATTATATTTCATTTATAGAAGCGACCATGGCTCTCCATTGGTTTCTTTTCTCTTTACTATTAATGAATTGTTATGATTTCTTGGCAAAGATAGTGGAGTACTGTACTGTTTTATTCTCAACGAATGTTATTCAGAATAGCCCTTCTCATTGACAGGCTGTCGGTCAAATCGAGAGAGCCCAGATTTACCAGCCGTTTAACCAAAGCTGAGAGTGGGGAGGATAAATGGTGTCATGCCTTTCGCAAGGTCGACAACGCAACAGACCAAAACATATCAAATATGGGCTGCAATTCAATTTATATAACAATAAATCATTCATACAAAAAGCAAATTAGTAAAGTTAATGATAGAAAATGGCGAATTCACTTCGCTAAATAAATTTTTAAAGATGCATTAGCCTACTAATCACTCGATGAATGTTATGATCCTTGTTTTTTTTTTTTTTAAATTATAAAGTGTATTAGGTCTTCCTTCAATAAGCAAGTACTTTTGACAGTACATTCAGTCATCTTCAGGCATGAAAATTATTTTGTTTTCGGTAAAATTCAGGTAGCGAGAAGAAAAAATATAATGAGAATCGAAATATGTTTTTTTTTTGTTTTTTTTTAAATGTGTTATTGTTAATGGATACAATCTTCTGGAGTGTGCAGTCGCAACGCTAAGGTTGATTTTTTTTTTTTTTGAAAAATTAAGTGAGTGTGTTTTTTACAAATATGAATTTTTTTTTTTTTGGTGTAGGAGTTTATCAGTCAATATGGTATGGACTAAATATTTCAATAGGTAGTGCAATGTCTCAGTTGTTATCCTGAAAATTTGCACATTGGATCAGTTCTTTTAAATCAAATATGTGGTGCAGTTCAATTTATATTAGAATGAATCATTCATACTTTCGCCATTTTAAATAATTAACTTTACTAATTTACTTTTTGTATGAATGATTCATTGTAATATATATATATATA